GCTTGAGCCCATACAGACTCTTCACCAACTTACAGACACGAGGAGTCCCATCCTCGTAGTAGCTCGGCTGCTCCATGTAAAGGTCTCGGTCCAGCACGCCATGGAGGAACGCGTTCTTCACATCGAGCTGCATCAGGTCCAAATCAAGTGCAGCTGCAATCGCCAGAAGCACACGCGCCGTCACATAGCTTCCCACAGGGGCGTACGTCTCCTCATAGTCCACCCCTGCCACCTGCGTGAACCCCTTCACCACCATCCTCGCCTTCTCACGCTCCACTATCCCATCAGGTCGGAACTTGGTGTTCAAAATCCAGCGGTTCTTCATCACATTCACCCCTGGCGGACGCGGAACCAACTCCCACGTCCCCTGCTCAATCAAGCTCCGCATCTCCTCATCCATCGCCTCCTTCACCTTGTCTCCCTTCCAGCAGCCCAAGGCCTCCTTCACTGTCATTTTCGCTATGTCCCACTGCCTCTCAGGATCAGCTGCCACGTCCGGGTCCAGGTTAGTCCACTCCTCGTCCTCCTCCTCGTCATCCAAGCCCGCTGGCTCAACCACTACAGCCCAAGCGTATCGAACAGGCGGGACACCACGAGTGATGCGAGTGGAGCGACGCAGTGGTGCAGTGGTCGTCCCAGAAACCAACACACGACCACCATCTCTAATTCCCCACATCTCCTGCTCCCCTGTCTGCTGCTCCCCAATCTGCTGCTCCCCTGTCTGCTGCTCCCCTGTCTCCTGCCCCCCACTCTGCTGTACTCCATCCATACTGCTCTCGTCCTGCAGCTGCTCAGTCTCAAGGCGCTGCCCGTCGGTGATCTCCACAGACGGTGGCACCTCCATCCCCCCCTCACCAACGGGCGGCGCCGTGGAAGACGAGGAAGAGGGCGGAGCAGGTGCAGGAGGGATGGAGGGTGGAAGGGGAGATGGAATAACAGGAGGAGGAGGGGAAGCCAAGGGGGGTGAGGAGGAAAAAGGCGGGGCAGGGGGAATCACACGAGGGTAGACTGAAGGCGGAGGTGGGGTGGGGACCGAGGTAGGGACATAGGGCATAGCAGGAGGTGCGACCACCTCCTCCTCCTCCTCCGCCTCCTCGAGAGTGATCGGGAAGAGTGAGGGAAGGGGCTCATAGGGCATCGAACGCCCCCCATGCTCCTGCTGATGCCAAGCCTTCCATCCTGCTAGGGACATGGTCTCATAGAACACAGCTTCCACAGTGGTGATGAGGCGGTTGGACTCCAAGTCCAGCACGGCCCAGCCCTTGCTCGCAGCTGACACACCCAAGTGCAACCCCCAGCGAGCCTTAGGCGCCAGCTTCCCCCCACGCTGCGACTGTGGTACCATGTACTGCAGCATGCAGCCCCAAACACGCACCATACTGACATCAGGTTTGCGTCGGAAGGCGAGCTCGTACGGCGTCACACCAGAGGGTAGTGAGGCGTGCTCCACGCGGTTGCGCACCCAGACGGCCTGAGCCAACGCCAGGTGCCACCAGTGATGCTGCACACCCATGTGCAGCAACATCGTCCGCACCGCCTCCACAATGCTGCGCATCTCCCTCTCGGCCATCCCGTTCTGCTCCGGCGTGTACGGGCATGTGAGGTCATGGATGATGCCTTTACCGTCGAGGAAGAGCGTGAAGTCGTGCCCCAGGAACTCGCCACCCCGATCAGTGCGCAGCGCCTGCACCGTGGTCTTGCACTGTCGCTCTGCCATCGGGAGCCACTTCTGGAACGCCGCCAGCGCATCACTCTTCTGGGCCAAAGGGTAGGCCCAGACATATCGCGTCTTGCGATCCTTCAGCACCAAGAAGTAGCGGCTGCCGTCCTTAGCTGCTTCACGGAAAGGGCCACACAGGTCAGCATGCACCACCCCGAGCAACTCATCCTCCTCCTCTCCCACAGAAGGAAAGGTATGACGAGTGATCTTTCCCCCAACACAGGAGACACAAGGTATGCCTGACTTGCCCCCCTTCTCCAAATCCAAGCCCTTCACTGACCCGTCAGCCGCTGTGCGCTCGATGGCATCAATACCAACGTGTGCCATACGCGCATGCCACAGGTCCCCCTTAGACCGTACGCCGGTCGCCAAGGTACGAAGTGCCACCGTTTCGCCTTCCTGCTGCTGCGTCGAACACGGCTGGAAGTTCGTGCAGAGAACACGCCCCTTGAACTCCGCACGACCAAGGAGCGATCCATCTGGTGCCCGCAGCAAAGTCACATCCCCGGCATCCAGCAGCTGCACACCACTATCACGCAGCTGCCCAGCAGAGAGAAGACTCGCATGCACTCCTGGTACGTACAGCACGTCCGGCACCAAGACACGCCTGCCCCCCTCCCCAAGAAGAGCGACTGTGCCTCGCCCCTGCACCTCCTGAAGGGCGCCGTTGAAGCCGGTAACCTGCTTAATGCTGCCGCCGCTGCTCATCTCCACAAAGGCAGAACGATCTCCCATGAGATGGTGGGAGCATCCGCTATCAAGCAGCACGACGCTCAGGTTCGCCTTCACAGCAACTGCAACAGCCTATAAGCCCTCCCCGGCCTCAGGCTCTAGCACAACGAGAGGAGTCTACTCCACAACTGGCTTCACCATCGCACATGATGACTGCCCGCTCCCCTTAGAGCCATCACCCCCCTTTCCGCTGCTACCTCCAGAACCCTCTCCACCGGTGTCTGCCTCCTTATCCGCCCGCTGCTGACAGTACTTAGCAACATGCCCTATTTGTCCACACACATAGCACTTCCTCTTGAAGCCCCCTTTCCCCCCCTTCGGCTGGCCATCCTTACCCCCTTTCCACTTCTCCCCTCCCCCACCAAGCCCACCCCCATTCTTAGGCTGCTGCTGCTGTGCCGTAGTGGGAGGGGAAGGGAATGAAGTCTGCTGGAATTGGGGCTTACCCTTCTTGGTAAAGACCTGGTTAGCCTGGGGAAGAAATTGGTCCTTTCGTCCCTCTGCTGCCAGCGTACACTCCTCCTCGATGATGTAGCTAGCGAGGGTATCCTCGTCCAACTCCTTGCGAACCTGCGGCAACTTCAGCATCCTGCGTAAGAGGTTGTACTGCTGCGGCAACCCCTTCACAACGTGAGTGATGTACGACGCCTGCGAGTAATCTACGCCGGCCATCCTCAGGTTCACTAGGATCTGCTGCGCACGGTTGCAATAGGACGTAGCGGACTCGTGCTCTCCCATCTCGAGGTTAGTGAGCGCCTGCTCTAACTGACCGATGTACAGATCGTCCTTCGCCATCTATGAATCGCTTTAGCTGAGCGATCTCAAGCTGCGGCTCGATTGATTCTGTCCACGTCGACAGGTCGTGACGTCCTTCTAACGGCCTAGTGACAACGATCTTGTTTGGAGTGAATCTGAAGTAGCCATAGTTGGGGGCTATTCCCTCGTCCCTCGACATCGATCCAATCGGGGTAACGCCCGGCATAGCCTCACTATCGAACTCTTCCGCAATTCCTCCTCCAGCAACGCTCCGCCGTCCTACATTCGCATGCTCTCGTGACGCTGCTGCACGATGAACACGCTCCTGTACACCGCCAACGCTAGCCGTACTAAACCGAGTTGGTCCTCGCAGGACCCCACGCGACATCAACCCATCAAACTCCTCGTCATCGCTATTTCCGCCATCGACAGCCATATCCCACGCACTAGTACCTCCCGCAACTTGCTCAACAGTCTCTACACGTGGCGAAGGGTGCTCACGACGCTGACGCGAGCGCAATCCCTCCAACATTAGCTCGTATTCGATATCACTAATCTCACCACGAGAATGACGAGCCACGAGATCCTCCTCTAGGGCGCGCAAATTACCGGCCTCCACGTTCGCCTCCTCTGTACTCATCCTCTACGACGTCTCTATAAGGTACCACAAATTAAAATAAAGTGCCCCTTCCTTAAATCCCTCGTCTCGGGGTCACCTCACAAGGGTCCTCAGACGAGTGGTAATAAATTACCAAACGCCCTATCCTTGGGTCCGAGAACGTAACTGGAGGGAAATCAAGAGAGGTTCAACTTAGATTAATAAGCGCCCTTCACTAACGCCGCACGCCAAGGCGAGTATACGAACGTGAATATCAACGACGACGGAAATCTATGCGTGTTCGTTCCACGCTCACCGCACCATGAAGGAATATATTAGAGAGCGTAGCGATAGCGAGAGAGTCTCTGCTATGGGAATGATGTTGCGCCAGCAACTTGGTAGAGTTTTGGTAGCGTTTGCCTCTAAGGACTTTGTGAGAATTGAAGTAGCATTTGGGCCAAGTAGAATTGCAATATCAATTCTCAAACACACAAGCAAACACAAACATATATAGGCAAGCAAGAGTTGCACAATTGTTGCGTGGCGCTGCGAGTAACCCAACCCACACGAAAGTGCTGTGCAGGTGGGTGAACGCGCCCCGCACATTTCCAACCCAACTCGGCACCGGAATGTCTCACCGTGCACGCTACTCCTGCCAACACAGCAAGTGAGCAGCGTGCCTCACAAGCAAGGCACCTACGACCCCCAAGACTCGTCATTCCTAGCACCGATTCCGCCGAGTTCGCTGCAGTAGCTCACAGTCACCCGTAGTCACTAATGACCGCCACCGAACTCGTGCGTCGGTGCCGAGTAGACTCAGTCGTTAGGCGCCGACCTGCCAAGTCAAAGGTCATCGAGGGCCCTTGCTGTCGTAGGGCCCTCTAACACCCCTCTCCCATTTCCCCCCCTCTTCCCCCTTCTGCACTTCCTCCCCTCCTCCCCAAACCCTGTCATGGCAGGGAATTAGCACGGGAGGTACTGGTCACTCAGTCTGACGTTTTTATCAAGGTGTGTACATGCTTGTGCTTATCCTTGTGAATAACTGCTTATTCCATCAAGTGTACCTGCATGCAAGGCTGCGTGCACATCTGCTTTCTCATCCCCAGCCATCCGTCTGTGTCCCTCACTGCTCTCTCTCAGTCCTTCAGAAACTGCTGAGAGCTCTACATCAAGCAGTAGCTGCTCTGACCATTGATGCGCAGTAGCAGAAACTACTGTTTACTGTGTATCCATACGTCTGTTTATCTTCACACTCACTCGTCTCCCTCTCAACAGGCGGGCACAGCATTTTTCCCCGGCAGCAGCTTGACGGGGAACGGGCTGCTGGTGAGCGATGGGGAGGTGTGGAAGAGGCAGCGCCGGCTGTCCAACGCTGCATTCAGAAAGGCCGCCATTCAATCGTATGCCACGGTGGGTTGGGTTTGAGAGTGGGTTGGGCTTGACGTGTGTTTCTTTTTTTTTTTCAGATTGTGAGTTGGGTTGGGGTTCATAAACCCTTGTCTATCTATTAAGAAAGCGGTGTTTCTTGTTTTTTTCACAAGCTTTAAAATTGGTACCAGGACTCGTATTGGCTGCGTGTGAAGAAGGCAACATCAGCTCCTGTTCAAATGCGCCCAGAGTCAACGAGGGGCCACTGGCAATCAAGCTCCTTACATTCGATTCTCGTTCTGCCTCTGCTCACCTTTGCTTAATTTTCGGTTTTCTCCCTGGCACAGGCCATGGCGGAGTTGGCTGATGACATGGTGGGCGGCAGAGTCAACGAGGGGCCACTGCCGATCAAGCTCCTTACATTCGATTCTCGTTCTGCCTCTGCTCACCTTTGCTTATGCTTTTGGCCCTCGATTTTCTCTCTTATGTTCTCATTCACAGGCCATGGCGGAGCTGGCTGATGACATGGTGGGGGGGGGCACGTGGGGGGGTAGCCCAGTAGGGCGAGGACTTGTGTTTGTATCTTCAGTTCTTTCCTTCATCTGCGCTCTACTCTCTCTCTCTCTCTCTCTCTCGCTCTCTCTCTCTCGTCAGGCCATGGCGGAGTTGGCTGATGACATGGTGGGAGGCACGTGGACGGATAGCCTAGTAGGACGAGGAGGACGAGGAGGGAGGGATGGGGTGGTGCAAGGTGGTGTGGTGAGGGACGTGTATGGGGACTTCAACGAGCTGACCATGAAAATCGTGGTGGCGGCGCTGTTTGGCGGGGGCGGGCTGGGGGGAGCAGCGGTGGAGCAGGTGGGACCAGCCATCTCCACGGCCTTTGACTTCTTTGCCAAGCGTGCCACCAGCATGCTCATCAGTTAAGCCCGTCCCTCCCGAACGGTCTTTGCATGCTCATCAGTTGAGTGCTTCGGAGAGATTTCAAAGTGACCCCAGTACAGCTGGGAGCAGCGGTGGAGCAGGTGGGACCAGCCATCTCCACGGCCTTTGACTTCTTTGCCAAGCGTGCCACCAGCATGCTCATCAGTTGAGTGCTCATCATGCACCCCCAACAATGCTCCACAGCTCTGATCACACACCCCACTCCCTCTCCCATCTCCATGGCGTTTGAGTTCTTCGCCAAGCGCGCCACCAGCATGCTCATCAGTTGAGTGGAGTCCCTTCCTGACAACTTGCCCAACACCACTTAACACACACCCCCTCCTCGACCATCTCCTCCCTTTGAGTTACTCGCCAATCGAACCACCAGCATGCTAATCAGTTAAGCACATCCCTCCCTCCCTCCCTTCCGCCCTCCCTCCCTCCCTCCTTCACTACCTCCCTCCCTCCCTCCCTCCCTCCCTCCCTCCGCCATCTCTATGCCACCGCTTCTCTTGGGTGCGTGTATACATGCAGTCCCCGAGTGGTTCCCCACTCCCGACAACCTCCAGTACACGGCAGCAGTGCAGCGCCTGTACGGGGTGCTGTTGTACCAACTCCCTATCTCTCGCTCCTTCCCATGTGCATGTTTGTGCAGTCCCCGAGTGGTTCCCTACCCCCGACAATCTCCAGTACACGGCAGCAGTGCAGCGCCTGGACGGGGTGGTGTATCGGCTGATAGAGGAGAGGAGGAAGGAGATGGCAGGGTGGGCTGCCACACGGGGGACTGCACAGGGAGGAGGCGATGAGGGGAAGGACCTGCTCACAAGATTGCTGCTGGTGAGACCACCATTCACCCCTCCCTTGCTTCTGCTGTTGCTGCTGCTGCTGACAAAAAGCCTCTATGCGAGCAAACATTAGTGCAGGTCGACCCGTTTTCTTGCACTCACATACCTGCCTGCCTCCCATCTAACCAGGCTCGGGATGAGGACGGCTCGGGGGAATGGACGACTAATCACTCAGAGACTAAGTAACTGCACCCTCATTTCCTGCTCTCACTTGTGCCCACTCTCACCAGGCTCGGGATGAGGACGGCTCGGGAATGGACGACCAGTCACTCAGAGACGAGCTCATGACTCTGCTGGTTGCGGTACGATGCGTTACACTGCGGTTTGGTGGTTTGTATTGTAGTACAGCTCGATCACGTTATTGCTGTCGATATTTCAGTTCAGTTCAGACTAATCTGGCAACTGGTGAACTTTTCTCATCGTTTTTCACCCCGTATATATCCTTCAAAAGGTTTCCTGTCATCCTAGATGTGCGTTCCGAGAATTCTAAAAACACAGCTCTTCGTATCGACAAGGTTTCCTGCTTCACCATTTCGTCCATCTCTCTCCAAGTCCGAAAAAAAAAAACTCTTTTTTTTTCTCTAGGTATCCAAAACGTCGCTCCTGACTCTCGCACCGGCCCCCTCTCTTTCCATTTCCGCTTTTCTGTCTCTGTTTCTCAATCTTCCCATTTCCCCAGGGCCAGGAGACATCAGCCATCCTGCTGGCGTGGGTGTGTGTGCAGCTGGCACTGCATCCGGAGGAGCAGAGGCGGGCAGCAGAGGAGGTGTGGGAGGTGCTGGGAGGGCGGAGCCCCACTCACGCTGACGTTCCCAAGCTCAAGTGAGTGGGAAGAGAGGGGAAGAGATGGTGCTGAGCAGGAAGAGCTATTCTTGTGCTGACTTTCTCAAGCTCGAGTGCGAGGGGAGGGAAGGGAGGGTGATACAGGCAACACTAAGTCTGATGCCTCTCATTGTCCTTCCCCTGCCATCGTCACAGGTACCTGGAGGCAGTGATACAGGAGACACTGGAGCTGACGCCACCGGCGTGACGCCACCGGCGTACATCGTGGGGCGCTGTGTGTGCCGAGACACGCGCCTGGGGGTGTGTGTGTCACCCTTAACCCACCTTACCGCCCTTGTGAGCGGTTTTTGAGAATTCTCAAAAACTGCTCCCCACGATCACATCCACCTCCCAAAATCATGGCAGGTACTTAAAGGCAGTGATTCAAGAAACGCTCCGGTCGATGCCACCGGCGTACATCGTGGGGAGCTGTGTGTGCCGAGACACGCGCCTGGGGGAGTGGCTCTCGCCCCACCTTACCGCCCTCCCCCCACCATCACATCCCACAACCCATCTGTCTCCCACAATCGTGACAGGTACCTAGAGGCAGCGATACAGGAGACGCTGCGGTTAATGTCAACCGTTATATCCTCCCCCCGCCATCCCATCCGTCTCCCCACATTATCCTGACAGGTACCTGGAGGCAGTGATACAGGAGACGCTGCGGCTGATGCCGCCTGCATACATTGTGGGGCGCTGTGCATGCCGAGACACGCGCCTGGGGGAGTGGCGCGTGCCCCACCTTACTGCCTTTCCCCCACCATCCCACCCACTCCTCCTCCCTCATCAAAGCAGGTACCTGGAGGCAGTGATACAGGAAACGCTGCGGCTGATGCCACCGGCGTACATTGTGGGGCGCTGTGCATGCCGAGACACGCGCCTGGGGGAGTGGCGCGTGCCCCACGGCACCACGGTGCTTGTCAGCCCGTACCTGCTGCACCGCGACCCCGAGCAGTGGCCCAGGTGAGAGGCGGAGTGGGGAGATGCGTTGGGCCAATGTGGTGTGCGTGCACAGGGAGGGGGAGTGGCGTGTGCCTCACGGCACCACGGTGCTTGTCAGCCCGTACCTGCTGCACCGCGACCCACAACAGTGGCCCAGGTGAGAGAAGCAAAGAGGAGCGGTGTGGGGCAGTGAGGAGCGGTGTGGAGTGAGGAGCGGTGTGGAGCAGTGAGGAGCGGTGTGGAGCAGTGAGGGGCGGTGAGGCGTGGAGCAAATGCTGTGGGAAAACATGTTCTTGGGAAGGGGGGCAGGGGCGGGGGGGGGATGGCGTGTGCCTCAGGGCACCATGGTGTGTGTGAGGCCATACCTGCTGCACTGCGACCCACGGCACTGGCCCGGGTGAGATGAGGAGGAGTGGCTGGAACCACTTGGTGTACATGCGTGCACAGCGCATGAACTGGGAGGACTGGGATGGGGAGTGGCGTGTGCCTCAGGGCACCACTGTGCTCGTGAGCCCATACCTGCTGCACCGCGACCCTCAGCACTGGCCCGGGTGAGAGGCGGGGAGGGGTGGGGCGTGGGCTGATCTGCTGTGCACGCGGGAGGGCAGGGAGTGGCGTGTGCCTCAAGGCATCACAGTGCTTGTGAGACCGTAGGTTATTGAGAGAGGCCGGAGGTTATTGAGAGAGGCCGGAGGTTATTGAGAGAGGCCGGAGGTTATTGAGAGAGGCCGGAGGTTATTGAGAGAGGCCGGAGGTTATTGAGAGAGGCCGGAGGTTATTGAGAGAGGCCGGAGGTTATTGAGAGAGGCCGGAGGTTATTGAGAGAGGCCGGAGGTTATTGAGAGAGGCCGGAGGTTATTGAGAGAGGCCGGAGGTTATTGAGAGAGGCCGGAGGTTATTGAGAGAGGCCGGAGGTTATTGAGAGAGGCCGGAGGTTATTGAGAGAGGCCGGAGGTTATTGAGAGAGGCCGGAGGTTATTGAGAGAGGCCGGAGGTTATTGAGAGAGGCCGGAGGTTATTGAGAGAGGCCGGAGGTTATTGAGAGAGGCCGGAGGTTATTGAGAGAGGCCGGAGGTTATTGAGAGAGGCCGGAGGTTATTGAGAGAGGCCGGAGGTTATTGAGAGAGGCCGGAGGTTATTGAGAGAGGCCGGAGGTTATTGAGAGAGGCCGGAGGTTATTGAGAGAGGCCGGAGGTTATTGAGGGAGGCCGGAGGTTATTGAGGGAGGCCGGAGGTTATTGAGGGAGGCCGGAGGTTATTGAGAGAGGCCGGAGGTTATTGAGAGAGGCCGGAGGTTATTGAGGGAGGCCGGAGGTTATTGAGAGAGGCCGGAGGTTATTGAGGGAGGCCGGAGGTTATTGAGAGAGGCCGGAGGTTATTGAGAGAGGCCGGAGGTTATTGAGAGAGGCCGGAGGTTATTGAGAGAGGCCGGAGGTTATTGAGAGAGGCCGGAGGTTATTGAGAGAGGCCGGAGGTTATTGAGAGAGGCCGGAGGTTATTGAGAGAGGCCGGAGGTTATTGAGGGAGGCCGGAGGTTATTGAGAGAGGCCGGAGGTTATTGAGAGAGGCCGGAGGTTATTGAGAGAGGCCGGAGGTTATTGAGAGAGGCCGGAGGTTATTGAGAGAGGCCGGAGGTTATTGAGAGAGGCCGGAGGTTATTGAGGGAGGCCGGAGGTTATTGAGAGAGGCCGGAGGTTATTGAGAGAGGCCGGAGGTTATTGAGGGAGGCCGGAGGTTATTGAGAGAGGCCGGAGGTTATTGAGAGAGGCCGGAGGTTATTGAGAGAGGCCGGAGGTTATTGAGAGAGGCCGGAGGTTATTGAGAGAGGCCGGAGGTTATTGAGAGAGGCCGGAGGTTGTAAGGCGGAAGCAGCAGTGGAGTGGATCCAGCGGGAGAAGAAGGGCGGTGGGAGACAGGAGGAGGAGAGAGTGGCATGGTCCTCATGGATCTCTGTAAGCCAGTCGATGAGACCTGTGCGTGTGAAGGGGAGATAATCGGGGAGATCAATGGGAGAGGGGGTGGAAGCCGGAGGCGGCAGTGGAGTGGATCCAGCAGGAGACGAAGGGTGGCGGGGGGCGCAGCAGGGAGGGCAGGAGGGCGCAGCAGGGAGGGCAGGAGGGCGCAGCAGGGAGGGCAGGAGGGCGCAGCAGGGAGGGCAGGAGGGCGCAGCAGGGAGGGCAGGAGGGCGCAGCAGGGTGGATTTTTGTCAGCCGGTCAATCAGGCCTGTGGGGTGTGGAGGGGACTGAAGGGGACTGGGTGAGGTGAGAGAACCAAAAACTTTCTGTCACCAGTCAAATTTCTGGAGAAGTGGGGTATCGATCCCCATACCTCTCGCATGCTAAGCGAGCGCTCTACCATCTGAGCTACATCCCCATGACAAAGACAACAAAGTGGCTTTCTTCAACCTTTCAGGACGCGCGTTGACTTTTAAGTCCGACTCAAAAGCCATGATTGAAAGATGCTGAGAGCAGGCCGACTTGCCTTTGAGTGCGGAGTGGAAGAGAGCAGTGATGACGTCCGCGTACTTGGTCTTCGCTTGCAGTGCCGTGGGTAAGACTCCAGACAAGGCATGCGGGTCAATGGAGTCAATGGAGTCAACGGGGAGAGTGCCATCGAAATCGCCAGCACCGTCAGCTACAGCAGCAGCAGGAGGAATGGCGGAGGCAAGGGTGTCAGGCTCCACGTGCAGTGGAAGGCTGGAGGGGCCTGTGGTGACCACGTCTTTCAACCGGTAGCCTGGTGTCTGTGGTGTGACGTGGGGATGCCGGAGGGAAGGGAGGCTGGGTTAGTTAGGTCGGTTGACAGCAGCAGCAGAGGGGAGGCAAGGGTGTCGGGCTCCACGTGCAGTGGAAGGCTGGAGGGGCCTGTGGTGACCACGTCTTTCAACCGATAACCCGGTGCCTGGAGCGTGGGATGCAGGGGGCACAGGGGACAGGGGACAGAGAGGGCACAGGTTTAAAGAAATTCGTTAGAGCGTGCACAAGGCATCTTGGGTGGGTAGCCGTGGAGGGAACAGTAATGAGCAAGCACTGAGGGGTATTGGTAGGTGGTTGGTTGGTGGGGTGGTCGAGTAGAGGAGGGACCACTGACCCGGTGACCCAGGAGGGTGAAGATGTTTTTGGAGAATTCTCAAAAAACACGTCGAGTAGAGGAGGGACCACTGAGTACTGACCTGGTGACCCAGGAGGGTGAAGATGTTTTTGGAGAATTCTCAAAAAACACGTCGAGTAGAGGAGGGACCACTGAGTACTGACCTGGTGACCCAGGAGGGTAAAGAAGGCGTCCCTTGTGGAGAGCACAGGGAGGCTATAGTACTGAGCGAGCACCGTTATATTGTCCTCTGACACCACCTCTGGCGCCCGGTGGGGGTAGGCGGGGTGGTGGGGAGGCAGGCCGAAGGAGAACGGACCCACGTCAGCGAAGGAGAGAGAGGGGTCCTGCACGGTGGGGAAATTGTGAAGGGGAGATACAGGAAAATAGGGAGGGGGACACGTGGGAAGGCCGAGTCACAATGTCCTGTGAACCAGTTCCTGCCACCCGGTGGGGGTAGGCGGGGTGGTGGGGCGGAAGGCCGAAAGAGAATGGGCCCACATCGGAGGAGACAGAGGGTTTCCGAATGAGGAGAGGGTGGAGTGCCTCCCCCATTGCCCGCGCATGAGGGGAGGCTGCGCAGAGACGGCAGAATGGATAGGGTGAGGAAAATGTTTTGGGTGGAGAGCACTGGGAGGCCTATGTCAGAGCACTGTGTTATTTTGTTCTCTGACACAGCCTCTCGCGCTCAGTGGGTGGTAAAAAACGGCAACTTCTGAGGGCCCCAACAAACAAGTAGAGAGAATATTGCGGCACCTAAAAAGAGTGGGAAACCGTGTTATATTGTCCTATGACACTGGGTTTGGCGCCAAGCGGGGGGACAGAGGGGATAAAGTGCGATACTGCCACCCCCCAACCCCCCTTCCTCTTGCTCCCACCCCGCAAATATCAAATACCCAACCCCCACAAACCTCTGAGCGAGAATCTCAGACTGTGCGTATACGTACCTCTTGCTGTCTGCATGCCCGGTTGCCACGGCAGAAGGAGAAGAAATTCACCATAACCACCGCTGCCCCCGCTGCCGCCTTCACTCCCTCCAGCCCTCCTTCTCTCCCTTTCTGCCACTGCCGCGTCTGAGGAGGGTTTTGAGGCGCCCCACCCCCCCAGCGCAGCAGCAACTGCTGCAGCACAGAGTCGTACATCTGCAGGAAGGAGCCCGCGCCCTGCCCCTTGGCCTCGCCCTGGTCAGATAACGCCAGCTCAGCGATGACCAGGTCCACGTCATCAGGCAGGGACTGCAGAAAGGTGGCTCTGTGGAAGGAGATTGGGGGAGATTAGGGGTTGGAGGCGCTTTTGAGTCGACTCAAAAGGAGATTGGGGGAGATTAGGGGTTGGAGGCGCTTTTGAGTCGACTCAAAAGGAGATTGGGGGAGATTAGGGGTTGGAGGCGAAGTGGGGAGGGAAAAGGCGGACGGGGGAGGGAAAAACAGATTGGGGGAGTTCAGGGGTTGAGGAGGCAGATGGGGGAGGGGGAAGGAGGTTTCTTCCTGTGATGGGACGGAGGTTTCTTACTGCGCACACATGCACATACACACACACACACACACACACACACATACACACACAAACACACACACACACACACACACACACACACACACACACACACACAGTCCCAACAATCAACGCCCCAAAAATTCAATGCTGACTCACCCATCACAGGACGCCCACGTGGCGAGGCTGCCACGAGGCAGGCCCAGGTTGATGAGCCAATAGGGCTCCGCCACCACAGCACTCTTTGATTGGCCGGGCGCGCGCCACTGCTTGAGGTGGCGTGGGGGGAAGGCGCGTATGAGATTGTCCAGAGCGAGGGAAAGCCAGCCCTGTGGTGGAGAGTGGCTGTGGGGAGGGGGGAGTCATGGGGGTGTAAGGGGAAGTGGAGGGGCAGAGGGGCCGGAATGGCTTGACGTGGTGGGGAGGGTTGGCGTGGACGAGAGTGTCAAGAGCAGCGGCGAGCCAACCTGCTGCTGGGGAGTGACTGTTGGGAGGGGGGAGTAATGGGGGGGGGGGGGGAGGGGAAGGGAGGGGCAGAGGGGCCGGAATGGCTTGACGGGGCGGGGAGGGAAGGCACGGACGATTTTTGAGGCGCCTCAAAAATCGTCTAAGTTCACGCAGCCGCAATGGCTTGACGTGGCGGGGAGGGAAGGCACGGACAAGTGTGTTGAAAACAGAGGCGAGCCAGCCTGCTGCTGAGGAGTGGCTGTTGGGAGGGGGGAGTAATGGGGGGGGGGAGGGGAAGGGAGGGGCAGAGGGGCCGGAATGGCTTGAAGTGGGGGGGAGGGAAGGCACGAACAAGTGTGTTGAAAACAGAGGCGAGCCAGCCTGCTGCTGAGGAGTGGCTGTTGGGAGGGGGGAGTAATGGGGGGGGGGAGGGGAAGGGAGGGGCAGAGGGGCCGGAATGGCTTGAAGTGGCGGGGAGGGAAGGCACGGACAAGTGTGTTGAAAACAGAGGCGAGCCAGCATGCTGCTGAGGAGTGGCTGTGGTGGTGTGGAGTGAAGTCAGTCGCCCCATAGACACTTCCCCTGCTACCCTACTCCCTCGCCTCCCCTGTTATCCCCTACTCCCAACTCCCGCTACTCCCCCCCTCTCTCCGTCCTCTCTCCGTCCTCTCTCCTCCGCTCCCCACTCGTCCCATACAGCCCCTGGTTGAACATCACCGGCTGAAGGCCCCCTGTCATCCGCAGGGAGGAAGGCCACTGGTTTCATGATCCCTAACCCCCCTGCAGCCCGTATTCCCCCTAACCCCCCTGCTCTTCCGATTCCCCCTGATTCCACAGCCTCCCCTGTCGCTCACCTCCTCTCCCCCGTGGTCTCGTACAGCCCCTGGTTGAACAGCACTGGCTGTGGCCCCCTGTGCCCCGCAGAGAGGAAGGTCACTGGCCCGCCAACCACTGCCACCGTCACTGGCAGCCGCTGCACCACCAGCTGCAGTGGGGGAGAGGAGGGTTGATGAGGGGGGTGTATGGTATGGGTGAGGATGGGGGATGAATGAGGGAGGATGTGGGGGTAAATGCTATGCTCGCACTCACTGTGCTCACACTTTGTACGCTCACACCCATGCTATACCTTGTACAGGAACATGTCCAGTCGCAGCATATCCCCTTTATAAGACACCGCGCGCCTCAGAGCCGCGGCCGGCAAATGCGGCTGCCACTGGAGCGCATCTGCCAGATCGCACGGCAGAGACTGACTCTTTCTCGACCAATCAAACTCATCCACGTCAGCAGCGGCATTCTGGCCACTGATCCCAACGGAAAGAGGTTGCAAGCCGCCTTCTAGAAAGCCGCTGGGAAATAAACCCTTTCCTAAAGGAGATCCCGAGGAATTCGCCAAAATCAAATTTGCCAAATCTGATCCCTGTGCGCTCCACCGCCCTGAATTGCGGAATTCCGCCTGGAATATATTTTTTGGTGCGTTCGCCGGGCCAGCCGTGTTCGCTGAGACTGAATCGAGGCTGCCAGTGCTGAAGCTACTTCGCGCGTTTGGCGGAGAGGTGGAAGGAGAGGAGGTGGAGGAGGAGGAGGAGGAGGAGAGGAGACCGCTGAGGAACGCAAACCAAACGACAACGATCGCGAGCAGTGTTAGTAGGGAGACGATTAGCCGGCTAGAGCCCCGCGTCGGCCGCATGGCCGGCAACTATTTGGACGGGAGTCACGGACAGTGTTTGCTGACGGGATCAAATGAATTTTGAGCGGGGAATTATCAGCATCGTAGAATGTGGTTGCGTTCAAGTCTCCCTCGATATGATCCGTGATTTACGTTCTATAATTCCATTCTAGTATCTGTATTTGCGTAAAATGTTGCTAAACGGTTGGTATCTTGTCGTCGGATCAACATCATAAGCCGTATGAGTTCAAATCTTTCGCTTACGTGGTTGCCGGTGGGATGCCGTGGAAAGCTCGCTTCCCGCTTCCTCACTGGACTGCAATTTTCTGGTGTGGCTCTCGTGGCCAGTTTCTTCACTCGCCATATCAGCATGTCCACGCTGGCAAGATGAGGCTTCCAGGGTCTCCTTTGCTCCGCGTTGACTGACAATCAATGGTGATTTTCCAGGAGTGCGCGGCTCGGGCCACGTTTCCTTTCCCCACGACCCACTTTACATCGCGACTCGCTGACTAATACCAGTAAGAACCATGCCTAACCCCATCAAAAGTTCACAAACCGTTTTAAAAGCCGTGGCAGACCTGTATATACGGACGCTTTCGCTACACTACTCTCGCAGCAGCAAGGCAGCAAGTCAGCGACTGTACACATATCGATCGCCACCATTGTATTTGCATCACTTTTTCACAAACCAATTCACGTCTTTCGAGGTTAGCCGACTCTCCGCCACCAATGGCCGCGTCCGCCGTTGCCGTGAGCTCTCTGAGCCTCTCCCGCAGCGCATCCGTCGGCGTCGCCTCGACACTCGGTTCGGAGGTGCTATCATCGTCGTCGTTGAAACGCCACGTGTCCTCGATTCCTGGAGTCCGTAGAAGAAACGCGGCTTCCGCGATTCGTGCAAGTCAGACCGGCAGCCAAGACTCGCAATCTCCATCGCGAGAGTCCTGGCCAAGTGCGTCCACGTGTCACCCTCACATTTCTCTAATGCAATGCACCAGTCCTTTCCTGTAACTATATCACCCTGTCTTGAAATTACTAGAAACGTTTCCTCGGCCGGTGATGTATCATCAGGGCTGTCTGCCTTGTCTAGGCACCCTCAGTCCTGGATTCGCACATCCCTCCATCGCATTGCTCCTTACGCCGCGTTTTCTTGTATCGCGTACGCCAGGACACGCAGCGCAATCAGGAGCGAAGCTGCTCGCGGCGGCGGCGATCGCGGGCTCTCTCGCGCTTGGCGCCGTGGGGCTGCCGCCGGACGCGGCGCAAGCGGCACTGAACCGCTTCGAGGCGGAGACGCGGGGCGAGTTCGGCATCGGCTCCGCCGCTCAATACGGCTCCGCGGACCTGAGGTGAAGCAACTAATCGCCATACTTATAACGTGCGTCGGGATTCAAGGAAAACCATTCCGCTATGTGTGTTGTCCTACAAGAAAACGAAATTAGCAACAGCATTTCAACCTGCACCTTTCCTACCCATCCCACCTCCCCCCACTCCCCCACCCTTCCCCTTCCTCTTTTCGCGCGGCGGCGCAGGAAGACGGTGCACCGCAACGAGAACTTCCGCCGCGCCAACTTCACGTCGGCGGACATGCGCGAGGCGGACTTCAGCGGGAGCGTGTTCGCGGGGGGGTACCTCGAGAAGGCCGTTGCTTACCGCACCAACTTCGAGGGTGAGCTTATCGCGCGAATGCGAGTACTGAGAGCGCACTGACAATATTGAGGGCATGTTGACAGTATGGGTGTTTGCGGGGGGGTACCTCGAGAAGGCCGTTGCTTACCGCACCAACTTCGAGGGTGAGTAGAAGCCTCAAAATTCTTCCCATTTCACGCAAACTTAAAACGGAATCACGTTCGCGAGTTGGTAAGGCGGTCTCGTTCTGAGGCGCCTCGAGAGTCGCGAGGCGGACTTCAGCGAGAGCGTGTTCGCGGGGGGGTACCATGAGAAAGGTTGTCGCTTACCGCACCAACTTCGAGGGATGAGTTCAACACGCGCATTGATGGGCATCGATGGCGGTACAGTCCTTGGGGAGGGCTCATCATGCAATATTAACCCTCGAAGTCTTTCTATGACATACGCATCAATGGGTATCATGCAATGCGTCTATATCTTCCTTCGTTCTCGCTCCTCTCATCTTGTGTCTCAGTGTCCGTTCTTCCTCTGTTCTCCTCCCCTTCGTCCCCTCTTCCCCTCCCCCTCCCCTTCCCGCCCTCTGCTTGGTTATTCAGGAGCGGACTTTACAGATGCGCTCATGGATAGAATGGTGAGTCGTGCCCCCGTAATGCTTGCGGTGTGCTCGGTTAATCTCTCGAGAGCCTCGGGCATCCCTCGTCAGTTCTGTCGGTGTGCTGGGGGAAATCGAGTACAGCATGCGAAATTGCACGCGGGACTACGCGTGCTGTGGAGTGAAGCGCCACAATGGTGAAACGACCTCTGATGAGGCGGATCTTCGAAAATAGACCTCTGTGACGCCTAAAAAACAATGACGATGTTATGGGGAATGTGGCATTGTGGCGCTGTGGTCCTCGTGGGCCACAATGCCTTGTCCCGCGCCGCTGATCTTTACATTCTCCTGGTTTTGACGCTTCTGGCAGGTGCTGAACGAGGCTAATCTGACGGACGCGGTGCTGCTGCGCGTGGTGCTCACTCGCTCCGACCTGGGAGGGGCCATTGTGGACGGCGCTGACTTCAGTGATGCCATTCTCGACCTGCCGCAGAAGCAGGTATGTCTGGTACAGGCTCCATCTGGGGGAGGACTAGATATCTTCTTGTGAACGGCGTGGACTTCAGCGATGCCATTGTTTGAATATTCCTGGCTACCTCGCATTCATGTAACACCATATGTTCCTGGCAATCCCCACTTACATGTAACACCTCCCATTACTCCCCCCATCCCCTTCCCCTTCAGCAGGCGCTGTGCAATAACGCCAGATCTACTTTGCGTCATTACCCAATCCCCACCTATTTATTAAGCACTCCCCCCCTACCACCTCCCACCTCCTCCTTTCCCTTCAACAGGCCCTATGCAAGTACGCCAAGGGGGAGAATCCAGTGACAGGCATGGACACACGGTTGTTGTGGTGTCTCTGGCCCCTGGAATCTCCCACATACGCTGTATCTATCACCTTCCCCACTACTCCTCTATCCCCTTCCCCTCCTTTGGCAGGCCCTATGCAAGTATGCTAAGGGGGAGAACCCAGTGACAGGCATGGACACACGGAGGAGCCTTGGATGTGGTAACCGCAGGGGCAATGCATATGGCTCACCATCATCCCCTTTATTGAGCGATGCCCCGAAGAAGTTTCTATCAAAAGATGGATTCTGTGACGATTCTTCGGGCTTGTGCAATGCTTCCATGTAATCTACCGTAACTGCTTAAGAGTAAAGAAATCAGCAGCTGGTGCAACTGCTATCAAAAAAAGGTGAAACTTTCTACAGCAACAGTAACAGTGTATAGGCAACACATATCTGAAATGGAGATACGTGAACTTTATTGTAAACAGTCCCAAGTAGAAATTGATCCACCATAGGTTAGAGCAGGACATAATAAGAACCTTAAAACCAGGGTGCACATTCAACGCGGTTCGGCTTGAGATGTTGGGAAGGGGGTTTGGAGAAAAACAGTGATTGGCTCACGAGGGGCGACAAAAAAATGATTCCGCTAGAGCTTCGGGCATTTCGTAGGTGGCGGGAGGGGGTGAAATGGCGGGAGTGGGTGAAACCGAATGGCGGGAGGGATGAAACAGATTGGCGGGAGGGGGGGGAAACGAAATTGCGGGGGAGGGGGGAAACAAAATTGCGGGGGAGGGGGGAAACGAATTTCGACGGGGAGGGGGAAATGAAATTGCGGGGGCGTGGGGAAACGAAATTGCGGGGGAGGGGGGAAACGAATTTCGACTTGAAGGGGTTGAAAGCACACCTCGTAACTCACTCAGTCAAGGGATAACCTTTGATGCACATTCAGCTGAATGTGCACCCCGGTTTTAAATATACTATTTTGTACACCAATACAAGAATTGTCTCGTGCAACTACGATACGACTACGAGCTCGCACATTTGTGCTGATACTTAAAAATTACACAATGCGAAATAGCCAACCGGATTGTGGTCTCATCTCTCTACAATCTACAAGTACAACGAGGAGTTCATACGGTACCCTACAACAGATGCACCAAAATCGGATGGGAACGACTACCAGAACAAAATTTCAATATACTGGTGAATAGCGTACAGTTATAGCTGTCCATTCCCATTGTCAATCCCCATCCATCTCAGCAGCTACCTTGGCATTTACTGTCCATCACTGGTCGATCTATCCCCCAACCTCGGCTTCTCCTCGCCATCATCACATCTCCTTGGCATCTGCTCCCCAGGCATGTCAAACTTCTCCGCAAACTTTTCGACGGCTGCCCGAAGCTCCTGCACCTCTGCTGAATCTGCCAGCTGATCCAACCCCCCTGCTCCTGGCCCCCCTGCCGGTGCCCCCATCCCACTCCGTGGCCTCTTCCCTCCTATCATCTGTGCCCCACTCTTCACCCCACCCTTTCCCCCCGACCCCATAGCAGCAGCACCACCACCAACAGAAGCAGCAGCACCACCGCCAGCCGCCGCCGCCGCCGCAGCAGCAGCAGCAGGGGGAGCACCAGCACTGCCACCACTCGAGCTGGGAACAGAGAGCATTCCAGTGGCGGGCGAAGCAGAGGCAGCTGCGGGGGACGGCGAGAGGGAGAGCTGCAGGCGCTGCGAGTGCAGCGAGCGCTGGGCGATCTGCACTGCCCTCACGAGGAAGTCGGCGATCCGGTCCATGTCTGCTTCCTTGCACCCCCGCGTGGTCATGGCAGGTGTGCCTGGAGGAGCCAGAAGGAAGGACGTATGAGGGGAAGAAAGGAAAGCTTGAGCTGAGAGTGAGGCGCGTCAAAACAACATTTGTGTAGAAGAGAGGAGAGAACAGGAGGGTGGGGGTGGGGGGGGGAAGGAGAGGCAAGAGAAGCTGCGTGCAAATCTTCTCAGCAAGCAGTTTCTTAACTAAGGAAACGTCATGCTGCACACCTCGCAACCCTTCCCACGATTCGCAACTCCAACAAGAAGAAGCTTGCAATGCCAAAGTTGATACACACGGACACGTTACTAACGGACGCGTTACTCACCAATGCGGACGCCGCCAGGCAGGGCGGAGTTGTCGCCAAAGACGGCGTTCTTGTTGAGCGTGATGCTGCACGCCTCGCACACCTTCTCAAAGCGCCCGCCCGTGAGGCCCAGCGGCCGCAGGTCCCACAGCAGCAGGTGGTTGTCCGTGCCGCCCGTCACTATGCGACACCCCCGCCGCGCAAGCGCCGCTGCAAGCGCCCTCGCGTTGCGCTTCACCTGGATCATGTACGCGCGGAACGCGGGAGACGCCGCCTGCTTGAGCGAGACGGCGAGCGCGGCCGTGTGGTTGTTGTGCGGGCCGCCTTGCATGGACGGGAACACCGCGAAGTTGATTCGGTCCTCCAAATCGTACACCGGCACTCGCGCCGACGGCGGCGGCGGCGGAGTCGAAGCACTCGCTCCCCCTGCTGCCGCCTCTCCACCCCCTCCGCCTCCCCGTCCCCCTCCGCTTCCCCCTGCGCCGCTTTTACAACAGCTACTGCCTCCACAACAACATCGCACAGTGTTCGCGCCTGCTGCCGATGCGCCGCCGCTATTCCCGGCGGCTTCCCCTCCGCTGGCGCCGGCCGCGCCCATGGTAGCCGACGCGGCGGCGGCGCTGCGCGGAAAGACGATGGGACCGCGGCGGTAGAAGACGAGGCCGCCTCTGGGTCCTCGGAGCGTCTTGTGCGTCGTGCTGGTTACCACATCGGCGAAATCGAACGGGCTGTTACACTCCTGCGCCGCGACGAGCCCGCTGATGTGCGCCATGTCGCACATGAGAATCGCGCCGCACTTGTCCGCGATGCGGCGGCACCGCGCGAAATCCCACTCGCGCGGGTACGCGCTTCCGCCCACCACCAGCAGCCGCGGGCGGTACTCCTGCGCCTTCTCCTCCATGCGCTCATAGTCGATTAATCCAGTAACGGGGTTCACCTTATAAGGAAGCGTCTCGAAATAAATCGACGCGCCCGAGACTTTCTTCCCGCCGTTGGTGTAAAATCCGTGACTCAGATGCCCGCCGGAGGGTAGATCTAATCCCATGATCCGATCTCCCGGCGTCAGAAGCGCCGTGTAAACCGCAAAATTCGCCGACGTGCACGAGTACGGCTGTACGTTCACTCCCCACCGTTGCGGGTCGAGATGAAACGCGGCGAGCGCGCGTTGGCGGCACAGATTCTCCACCGCGTCAATCCACTGGTTCCCGCCATAGTACCGCGCTCCGGGCATCCCTTCCGAGTACTTATTCGTCATCGGGCTCCCTAGAGCCTCGAGAACCGCCTGCGAGGTGAAATTCTCCGACGCGATTAACTCCAGACAGCTCCGCTGCCGCCGCTTCTCTCCCTGAATTAATCGCCAGATGTCCGGATCCGCTTCTTCTAAGGACGAGTTACCCCATATGCTAACCGGTTCGAAGGCCGCTAGGTCCTCTGCGTTAGATCGCGAAGATCCAACGGCAACGATCGCGCCATTACCGAGTGAGCTGCTGCTTGCCTCGCCAGATGGCTCCAGCTTCGTTCGCACTACGGGCTTGCGATCGGACTCGACGTCGCCGTCGCCGTCGCCAGGCTCGCCTGCGAACTCGCGATTGGGACGTACACAGGGAGCGCTGGATGACCTATGATGCTTGTTGGAACGCTGCGATTGGTCCGCAGACTGCTGCGACTGTTGCTGCGACTGCTCGAGACTAGGCGACGGGCTCATGAAGACAAAAGTGGGAGTCGGCTCGCGGCCATTCGCAGAGATGCCGGCACAAAACGAGGGCGAACGAGGTTCCTCTTTGGCGAAGAGGGGCTGCGGTGAAGCGCGATGTACGTGGTCCTGCTGGGTGTGTTGATGTTGCTGTGACTGTTGCTGTTGCGATTGTTGTTGCTGCTGCAAGTGCGGGTGTACATGGTCTTGCTGCAACAGTGGTTGATGCTGATGTTGGCTTTGTAAAAAAGGGTGAGTTGAGTTGTAATTAATGGCAGAGCGGTCAGGCGAGCCGCGTCCCATGTGCGGGTTTAACTTGCAGGCGAGAGCGGCTTGCTGCGGGAGAGCCTCGGATGGCGAGGAAGAGACGGCGGAAAATGCGGAAGGGGTATTGAAGAAGTTGAACGAGGAGGATGAGTTTTGCGGTTCGTGCTTCGTGGGATGCTCGGGTTCAGGCTTTAAAATCGAGCAGGGAATTGAGGAGGTGTTGTGAGTGGTCTGCAGCAGCTGGAGAGTAGGCGACGGAGCCATGCGCATAGTATGGTTCTAGATTCGCTAAGGTTTCTTGCAGCCAAGCTCTCGTCAACGATGTCTAAAAGAGAGCTCGGGAAAAAGAACAATGAAAATCTTTGACTACTGCGATAGTCTACCAAAATTGTGAGATATGGCAACTCCGAGTAAGAACTCCTAGGGTTTCCGGAAGACCTGGGAACAAAGTGCAGGCAGCTTGCAAGACGGACGAGCTTGTCCTTGAATATGAGCCAGCCAAAGAGGACGTCAGTCACTGGCTGAAAAAAGCAGCTTACAACCTGTAAGAGCGCGAGAGCAAGGATAAGAGCTTCCTGTCAATCATGCAGTTTCTATGGTGTTCTGAGAACCACATTCTCTCCTAGCCAGCCCACACACCATACAGTACCACTCGTGGTTACAGAGAACCACTTCAGCTATGTCTGTTACTTGAACCTCTTACGCTGTAGGGTAAGCGTACGCTGAACCTGGGCGTACTTCTCCAGAACAACGAACGGGTCGACTGTTCGGCTGCTCGGCTGTTGCGCTGGCGAGGCTCGCAGCAAGGGTGTTGTGCGATTGGCTGCCCTGCGGAGACGGAGCCACAGGATAGGCGGGAGAGGTTGCAGGTTGGGGGAGGAAGTGAGGAGGGAAGGGGAGATGCGCGCTGAAGCAGGTGATTTCGCGCGAAAGCACATCACAAGGGGAGCGGCAGATGAGGCGAAGCCGTCGCGTCCAACGAGGGTGGGTCAGGTGGAACGCCACTGGCTGAGATTGCCACCGTGGCAGAAAGGGAATCCCGTTCTGGGGAATGGTGGCTGGAAGAAGGGCATTTATCTTAGCGGTAACACTCTTGGAGC